GACGTGTGTTTCTTGTACTATATAAGCACACAGTGTCGCTCACATTTGAGTTCGCAGTGAGCACGTGAAGGGGACTTTAGAGATTCACAGGCTACAAGCAGATGATCCAATATGCAAGCTTTTCCTGTGAGACACGCTAAGTTCATTCCTCACCCAGGCCCCTTGAACCTGTTTGGCCCTCTGCCTGGAATACTCTTCCTCTAGAACTTCCCAGGGCTGTCTCTTTCTTATTTTTTAGCTCAAAGGTCACTGTCATGGAGAGCCCGACCTCAGGCACTCTATATCAGTAAGTAGTAACCCACACTCAGTCCCTCTATCTCACTTCACAATTTTAATTTCTTTGTGGTATTTGTCACCACGTGAAATGGACATGCCTATCTTAATACTGTGTTTATTATCTGTCTTTCTTACTAGACTGTAAGCTCCTAGTGTAGTGATTATTTCTTTTAACACAATGCCTAGAACACAGGAGTAGGCCTGGGTAAATGTTTATGGAATACACAGGGGAACAAGAGACATGTAGTGGACGCCTGTAACACACCAGCTCTGTTTTAGGCATTTAGGGTGTGACAATGAATGGAGCAGTCGAAAATGTCTGAACTCCTGGAGTTTACATTCTAAGGCAGGAAAGCGGTCAACAACTAGCTGTGTGATGGGGGCTGTGCTGTGTTAAGTAGGGGCAGAAGGAAAGGTCTGGGCTTAGAGACCTGAGGAATGTGAGAGGGGAGGCACCTGCACCAGGTGGGGAGGAGAAGGCAGGGAGGGAAGGAGTCTTTTAGGCAAAGGGTAAAGGAAGTGCAAAGGCCCTAAGAAAACAGGAAGGGGGCTGTATGGATAAAGCCAGCCAGTGGGACAGCTCCAAACGTGTAGAGCAGTGATTTTCAACCGGTGTGTCACAGCACACTGATGTGCCGTGAGAGGATCTTAGGTGTGCCTGTGAAAAAATGTATTTATTTATTTTTTAAATTTCAGGTTAATGTGAGGGTAGGAACAACTAGGTTACAATATTTGTATTTGTTAAGTAGAGTCCCTTTTGTAGTTGTGGCCCACGCCCAGAAAGTTTGCCATATACTTTTTTTTTATTTGTAGAGACAGAGTCTCACTTTGTTACCCTTGGTAGAGTGCCGTGGCATCACAGCTCCCAGCAACCTTCAACTCCTGGGCTTAGGCAATTCTCTTGCCTCCGCCTCCTGAGTAGCTGGGACTACAGGCGCCTAACACAACACCTGCTATTTTGTTGTTGTTGTTGCAGTTTGGCCCGGGCTGGGTTCGAACCTGCTACCCTTGGTATATGGGGCCAGTACCCTACTGAGCCACAGGCACCGCCCCAAGCCATATACTTTTGCATTGTGCCCATTAAGTAGGATCACACTAATCATCCTCCCTCCACCCCACTTGCCCTCCCTCATTCTCTCACCCCCCCAACTTGAATTTAACTGAGTTCTTCTCTTACATGGGTGTGTATTAGATCATTGTCTGGCTTCATATTAGTATTGAATACCTTAGATATATATGTTTTCCATTCTGGTGATGCTTTACTAAGAAGAATGTGTTTCAACTCTAGGCTAATACAAAAGATGTAAAGTCACCATTTTTAATGGCTGAATAGTATTCCATGGTATACATATACCACAGTTTGTTAATCCATTCCTGAGTTGATGGGCATATAGATTGTTTCCATAGCTTGGCAATTGTAAATTGAGCTGTGATCAACAATATAGTGCAAATGTCTTTATGATAAAATGATTTTTTTTTTTCTGGAGAGATGCCTAGTAATAGGACTGTGGGATCAAATGGGAGGTTTAATTTGAGTTCTTTGAGGATTCTCCATACTTCGTAACATAGAGGCTGTTATTTGTTTGCAGTCCCACCAACAGGGTAAAAGTGAGAACACTTTTAAAGATCATTAATGAAATTATTTTTGAAAGATGTTCAAAGCATAGTAAGTATATTCTTTTTTTTATCCTTTTTTATAAATCAATATAATTCAAGTGTACCACAGAAGTTTATAGGTTCAAGTAGGCTGTGAGATAAAAAATGGTTGAAAAACACCAATGTACAGTCTTGTAGGCCAGTGGGCACCAACCTTTTGGCACCAGGGACCAGTTTCATGGAAGACAATTTTTCCATGGACCAGGGGAGGGTGGAGGGTGTGTGTGAGGATGGATGGTCTCATGATGATTCAAGTGCATTACATTCATTGTGCACTTTATATTTATTATTGTATTGTAATATATAATGAAATAATTATACAACTCCCCATTACACAGAATTGGTGGGAGCTCTGAGCTTGTTTCCTTGAAACTAGATAGTCTCAGTGCTCAGATCATCAGGCATTAGATTCTTATAAAGAGAGCACAATCTAGATTCCTCAAATGCACAGTTTACAGTAGAGTTAGTGCTCCTGTGAGAATCTAATGCCCCTGCTGATCTGAGGAGGCAGAGCTCAGGCAGGGATGTGAGCTGTGGGGAGCGGCTGTAAACACAGATGAAGCGTTGCTTGCTCCCTGCTGCTCATCTCCTGCTGTGCAGCCCAGTTCTAAATAGGACACAGACTGGTACTGGTCTAAAGTCCACTCAAAGGACTTTGGATTTTGCTCTTGTGCAATACGGGAAGCCACTGGGTTGGCTCTGAGCAGAGTGACATACGGGCCTTTGGGTATATATGGCAAGGTCTTTTATTTTTTAGAGATAGAGTCTCAAGCTGTTGCCCTGGGTAGAGTGCTGTGACATCACAGCTCACAGCAACCTCAGACTCTTGGGCTCAAGCGATTCTCTTCCTCAGCCTCCCAAGTAGCTGGGACTACAGGTGCCTGCCACAAGGCCTAGCTAGTTTTTTTGTTGTTGCAGTTGTCATTGTTGTTTTAGCTGGCCTGGGCTGGGTTTGAACCCACCAGCCTTGGTGCGTGTGGCCGGCACTCTACACACTGAGCAATGGGTGCTGCTGGTCCTTTTTTGTTATTGTTGTTTTGATGATAAAAAACTGTGGAAAAGAGGTGGAAATAGGAGTAGACCCAATAATCCAGACAAGAGGTGAAGGCATCTTCCTCCAGGGTGGTGATAGGGAGATGGTGAAGCACGTTAATAGTCTGGGAGGATTTTGAAAGTAGAGCTGATAGTATTTGCTGATACAGTGAACAAAGTAATGATACAAAAATATGTGCAGAATAGATACAAAGAAGGCTTTTCTTGGATTTATAGACAAGGCACTGGTTTTATCAGGTGTTTGACATGGATATAACAAACAGATGCACAACCACCTGGAAAGCCTGCACTGGAACTTTTGTGTCATCTATTTTTTATCCCAAAGAACAGGACACAAAACAATAAAGAGCGGTGAATTATATTGAGCATCAAAATCTGTACTTGCAATTAAGCGAGCTGGTTTGGGGTTTGATCTCATTTCAGCACACTGACATGAGTGCAATAATTGTTCGTCAGACATAAACATTTCAAAATGAAAATGACACTTATCCGTGAGGAGACTATGAAGTTCATTGGGTAGTTACACAAAAGGGTAAACATTATGAAGGATGAAAATCTTGCCCGATTTATCTCGATGGGCGTCTGCATTTCTAAATGATCTGATGACTGCTCAAACCTCGGACCCTTCGCTTACTGGGCTACACTGAATTTTGGAGGTTACTCAACCTTGCACATCACCTCCTGGCACGCTGCAAATAGCAGGTGCACAGCACTCATTGACTTGATGATTTAACAGGCTCTGTCTTCTTACAGTGCTCAGGAACACTTATTTATTTTTATACCCCAAATTGCTAATGAGACAGTCTGAATATGAAACTTCAGAACGTGCAGGATGCTTTGCAAGGTGTGTGTAGGGAGCAATCTAGAGCCTCCAGCCTCCTGGGAAGCCAAGCCAAGAGAGGCTTCTAGGGTGAGGAGCAGATGAATGCTAATGCAGCGGGAGTTAGAGAACGGGAGGAGGAACAAGAGGAGGCCCTTCAGATATACAATCCCCCTCCTTGAGATGGCAGGGAATGTAGACAGGACTAAACGGAATGATCACGGCAGGCGCCTGGACCTCTGTGAGGATGAATACGCAGGAGCTAAAAGGTGGTTTTAAACACAACGTTAAATCTGCCGATGCTCTGAGTTTTCTGGTGCGAGTCACCGATTCACCAAGGGCTGAAAGGGACCGGGTGAACTTGCCATTCCCCTTCCCTTCCTCCTGGCCTCAGCGGAACCAGACGCAGGAGGCCGGTCTGCCTCCCTTGTAAGCCACACCTTTATCCCACACGAGTTCCTCTCTTGCCATTTCTGCTTAATTCCTTCTGTGTGAGATCTCCCAACCAAGCACTTGGTTTGCATCCGGAAAATAAACTATCGTAAAGCATCCTACGCCGGGCACTGAAGTTTGCTTTTTGTTTCTAGGCGTGTTTTCGGGACTGCACGGCAACGTGAACAAAATCTGACTGCCGCTGGGCTGAGGGGGCCCTTTCGTCTTTCTCCAGAACTTTCAGTGACACCACGACTTTGGCAGCGCTCGGGCTGCACTGCTCAAAGCCGCCAGTTCCGTAGGCGGCTTGGCCGGAGGCGGCCACGCGTTTCCACTCCCGAGGGCCAGAGGCGCCAGGAAGTTTACATTCTCCTTCCACGGTCCCCTGGCGCGGAGTGCAATCACCAGGGGAGAGGGCGCAGTGACTGTCCCTCTAAAAAAGAGCCGTCTTCCGAAGTGGCCAGTCCCAGGCTTGGTCCACTTCGGGAGAGGGAGAAAGTTGGGCGGGAGCGCGGGGCGGGGCTGGGGGGCGCGGGTGGAAGTCGGGTGGCCCCCCAGCGCGCGAGCCGGGGTGGAGCCAGCAGCCCGGCGCGGCGTCAGCGTTTAAGATGCAAATCGAGTCCCCGCTGCCTCCCGCCCCCCACGCCCGGTGAGCGAGGCTCCGCCGCTCCGCGGCCGCCCCCGCCTCCTGCGCGCCGCTGCGCCCGAGCCTCGCCCGAGCGGCTCTACTTAAGCGGCGCGCGGACCGCGACCCGACACTCGCCTGGAGCGCGCGGGCGAGGCGGGCGAAGCGCACCGGAGCTCACGGGGGCCCACAGGGGCGCGCTCGCACCGCCTGGCTCGGAGCGGCTCCCAGCGGCTCTCAGCGGCTGCGGCAGCGGCCGGGGCGCAGGGCCGAGCGAGCGTCGGGTTCCGGGGCTCTCCGAAAGGCGGCCCCGCTCCCGGCCCGGTCCGGCCACTTCTTTGCCATGGCTCTGGCGGACAGCACACGTGGATTACCCAACGGGGGCGGTGGAGGCGGGGGCGGCAGCGGCTCCTCGTCGTCCTCCGCTGAGCCGCCGCTCTTCCCCGACATCGTGGAGCTGAACGTGGGGGGCCAGGTGTACGTGACCCGGCGCTGCACTGTGGTGTCGGTGCCCGACTCCCTGCTCTGGCGCATGTTCACGCAGCAGCAGCCGCAGGAGCTGGCCCGGGACAGCAAAGGCCGCTTCTTTTTGGACCGGGACGGCTTCCTCTTCCGCTACATCCTGGATTACCTGCGGGACCTGCAGCTCGTGCTGCCTGACTACTTCCCCGAGCGCAGCCGGCTGCAGCGCGAGGCCGAATACTTCGAGCTGCCGGAGCTGGTGCGTCGCCTTGGGGCCCCCCAGCAGCCCGGCCCCGGGCCGCCGCCACCGCACACGCGACGCGGTGTGCACAAGGAGGGCTCGCTGGGCGACGAGCTGCTGCCGCTTGGCTACCCGGAGCCGGAGCAGCAAGAGGGAGCCTCCGCCGGGGCGCCGTCGCCCACGCTGGAGCTGGCTAGCCGCAGTCCGTCCGGGGGCGCGGCGGGCCCGCTGCTCACGCCGTCCCAGTCGCTGGACGGCAGCCGGCGCTCCGGCTACATCACCATCGGCTACCGCGGCTCCTACACCATAGGGCGGGACGCGCAGGCGGACGCCAAGTTCCGGCGGGTGGCGCGCATCACCGTGTGCGGCAAGACGTCGCTGGCCAAGGAGGTGTTTGGGGACACCCTGAATGAGAGCCGGGACCCCGACCGGCCCCCGGAGCGCTACACGTCGCGCTATTACCTCAAGTTCAACTTCCTGGAGCAGGCCTTCGACAAGCTGTCCGACTCGGGCTTCCACATGGTGGCCTGCAGCTCCACGGGCACCTGCGCCTTTGCCAGCAGCACCGACCAGAGCGAGGACAAGATCTGGACCAGCTACACCGAGTATGTCTTCTGCAGGGAGTGAGCGCCCCAGACCCCCTTGCGACTCCAGCGCCCGTGCCTCCTCCTTCCTGCCCGAGAGATGATTACCGATCCTCCCGCTCCTCCTCTGTCCCCTAGCTCCACTTCCCCTCGTCTCCCTCTCCCGTAGTAGCTGGGCCAGACCCATCCCATTTGCCCCCAGAACTTGCTGCAGCCACAAATCCTCTGGGCTTCTTCGTCTTCTTTGGACCCCAGTATTGGAGAGAACCCAGATGTACCCCCCCACCTCACGCTTCCTCTACTCTCTGCCTCACACCGCCCCTCCCCCAGGTGGTACTTTAGTCTGGATCTGGTGGGACAGTGGCCACAAAGTCACCAAGTACCTAGCAATGATTGCATTGTTCACAGCCTGACGGGACCGTGTCCAGTGTGTGGAAGATACCTGGTAATCCTCTCGAGCCCTTTTGACTCGTTGGTGGTTTAAGAGATCAGAATTGGTAACACTGGGGCTAGGGTATTAAAGGGCCGTTATGCAGTCTTTTTGACTCTTTGAAGGTTAAGTTTTAGAAGGCTGAATGGAAGACTGATCCTGGAATTAGGACCGCAAGGAGGCAGTTCAGTGACTGTAAATGAATAAAATTTTGAAAAGTTACAGGTAAAATCAGAACAATCTAGTGCTGCTAGATTGAAGGAACAATGAAGTGAAGGATCCTACCTTTCCCATACAGAATAAGAAAGTCTTTGCCTGCAGCTTAAACTTGTAAAAAGTGATCCTCCTTACTGCGGAGGTGTCCTTTGTCATCTGCTTGTCGCCAGAGCCCTTAGTTCAACTGGTTGACATAGTAGCCCTTGACAGGCTAAAGGGACAAAAAGGGCGCTGCCCCCTACGAGGGCAGAACTGCCCAGGACTCTGAAGACCGCTGCTGGAAGGCACCTGCAGTCGCCCTAAAGGGAGCCGGGCAGTAATGCAGGTCCTGGGTGTTTGGAAAGCCAGTACTCTTGCAGTGAATGGCAGTAGGACCTTCTTTAGCTCTAAGACTGGGGGGGAGGGGTGGGGAGGGGAGGGAGGAAAAGGAAGGAAGGGGGGAAGGGAGGAGCAGAAATTTATTATTTGAAAGCTGGAAGTTTATACCATCCATTTGAGTACATGCACATCTAAAAAATATCAAAATAGCACATGCAGACATGCCAAGCATTTTATAAAGATCAATAACAGACCTACACGTAATTGGCAGTTTGTTGAACTAACTGTTTTGAGTCCTAAACTTAGAAGTTGCTGATACTTATATAACCTAACCAAAGAGTTACCCAGTAGGGTTTTAGTTTTGAACTTTTATTTTCTTGTTGATTATAAATCTTGATTTTAAAATCTATTTACTTGAGCAAAATAGCTTGATTTTGGTTGCTTAGACTTAAGATCTCTTAGTAAAGATCCTTGTTTTCGCCAAACCCAGCAAATGTTGACTACTGGGCCAACTTGAGTACCAGAAAATGCCACTTCCTTCACACAGTTGGTTTGAAGTTAAGGTGGAATCTCTGCAAGTGGCAGAGCTGCAGAGAAAGCACCAAGGGCTGCCCATTTGTAGATAGCTATAAAAAGGAATTATCTCAAAATGAAGGCGAGTAAATACTCACGAGTGAGCTGAGCAATAAATTGGTGTTTTAGGTAAATGCAACAGAAACAGAAGGAGACCTGGTTGCCTTATGCCTTCACTCTTCCATGGAATAAATTCCCAGTGCATCTCCTATGTGCTCCATAAGTGAGGGGGAACAACCCTCAGGCTTCATGCTGTGAGGTACCCTTTGGATGTTCTGTGATGACGGAGAAGCCTTTGTTTTGTTTTGTTTGTTTCAGCATCTTTTTCTGAAGTATGTTTTTAAAGATTTTGTAAGAGCCATTTTCAGTGTTCAGTGCTATTTTCCCCTTCTTTTTAAAAACGAATCTTGTACTGTATCTTACTGTGTCCATACGGAGGTTACGAATTGGAACAGTTTTATTCTTAGACTCATGCGATCCAATCTGTATATACCATATATAAACATTTTACACGAATCATTTAGTTTTTTAATTCATTTACTAATGCTATACAGTTTCCTATATTTACGCCCTGTAACTTGCATCAGATGGTGGATGTGTATACTCCCATCAACATGTTTTGATGAGTTTCTTATATCCTTGTTTATGGGGAAATTGGGTTAGGAAAAAATACCTAACTGTACAACTGAGTAGGCTTCATACTTTTTGCTTGGATATTAGTTGTGTATTTAATCATGGGTCAATTAACTGTCTGCTTAAAATCAAGGTACCTGTATTTTTAATCCACTAATTCTTTTAACTGGGAAAGAGAAAGATTTAAAGTCTTTATTAGAGTTACATTTTAGGAAATATAAAATTAGCTTTATATACAAGACCTGTAATTGTGGGAAAATGGAAGCAGGAATCTGGGGAGTTGTGTTTGCTCATGTATTGAGTTTGATCTCGGGCAAGGTAACGTGTCAGAACTTATTTCTGTTCCAAGTCTGGATTTAAGACTGCTGCTCACTGGCTGAAAGTCAGTGTCACAGAGATTTCTCTACCCATGGGGCATTCTGTAAGATTGTTCAACAAAAGGCACACCTGATTGAGAACACCTCAGGACAGATCAAAGCCACCAACAGAGGGCAAGACTCACCAGTTCTGATTTCCCTTGTCAAGTCTGCTCAACTCCTGAAAAATGGCTAGAGTTTCATCTTAAGTCTTATGAATGTTTATCTTGTAACACTTTTGAGTTGAGCTATCCCTCTGTCTTGTACATAGGGCACCTTGCCTCTCTCTGCCTTGCTGTTTGTACATCTTCATTACTGGAAAGACTAGGGATTTAATGATTAGGTACAGTAAGCCTGCCTCTTTTTCTAGGTATGACTGTTTCCTCTAAAATTGAAGATGATACATGAAAACATTCTACTTTTAGCCTAAAGTAAAGGCTGGGCAGGAAAATTCATTTTATACTGGGTAGATAGAGGTATTATACTGGTAGATACTGGTATTATAGAGGTAAGGTGACTTGGCCTGGGCACCTTTAAATCCCTTCCCCTCTACAGGCTTTGGGCCACAAAAGGAGCCTTTGAGATCCACAAAGTGGGCTGGAGTATTGATCATCGCTTATGAACTTGAATTGGAGTATTGAGGGTTTATTTGAATAAGCCCTCCTTAGATACCATTCATATAACCAGGGACCGTATCATAAATTATCCACATAGTTATGACTGCATTAATCTGTCTCAGATGCATTTACATATGTTGGTCTAATTATTATTGGATGTTTGTAGTGATGTAAGACTTCTAATAACAAATTTAATTTTCAGAAAAAGAATTATAGTGGTGGTTAAAAAAACAGGTACCATGTTCTGTGCTTTTGCACCCAGTGATTGACATGTTTATTTTTTAATACATGTAGACTATGAACCATATTCATTCTGATTTTTGAAATGGTATATTGTGGAAAATATTCCTTGAAGGTGTGAAATGTAATTTTTTTCCTCTTTCAATGCTGTGTCTATTCTTGTGTTTTTTATTTGGTTTTTTGGATTGATAGCAAAGTGATAATTTATAATGCTAGCCAAAATCATCTTCTCTCTCAAACCAGACCCATATATAGTGCTTCTCGGAGGAGATGCATCATCTGCAAATACTCAAAATGGGCAATTGCCAGTGCTCATAATATTGCCAGTTTTTATTGGAATTTTCCATGAAATGTTAGCATTATATTACAGCCCTGTAAGGTGAAGCTTTGATAATTTTTTACTCTTCACTTTATGGTAAAATCCAAGCTAATACTAAAATCATTTTTGTACTCTTACATGAAAAATGCTACATTGCAATGCAGAAGGTTAGAAAAGTATTGACAAGAGGGGTTGAATTCCTTAAGCATTTCTCTTACAGTCTAAATCACAAATACTTTACTCAATTGACTTTAGTTTTTAAAATAGTAAGCTGAATATTTTTATTGTAAACCTACCAGAGTCAATTGTTTGTTTAGAGGTTTTTTTCTGTTCTGCCTTACTATAAATCATTTAAAAACTGAATTAGTTTTCTTAGATGACCTAGGTCTGTCTCTTGAGAAATAAATAAAATACTCTTATTTCCAGTATTTATAGTACTTGGAATAAGTTTTCTTTTAGCCAGAAACAAGTTATGTTGAAGTTAATTGTCTTTGTAATAATTTTGGATAATAAAAATCTTTAAGTATTAATACTTAAGAATTTAGATTCTCTACTGGGGTCCTCAAAACTTAGATGGAAGAAATTCAACCAGAATATCTACATTAGAATATAATCACGTGTGGTAGGAAGATGGAGTAGTTGATCAAGAATTCTTGTCACTTAGACATTTTGTGATTTTTTTTTTCCAAGCCAAGTTTTCTATCCTAAATGTGTTTTGAGGTATGTATACATTAATTGTAAACTATTATACAACTGTCTTTGTGACTATGCAGTCAGGCAAATTTTTCTATTACAATACTTTTGAATACAAATGGTGACAATTCATTTATGGCCATTCAAACAGCATTAGTAACCATTTAAGGACAAAGGGTTAAAACATCCATCCTGGATATTAATTTTGAAGATGTAAATTGTATGTTGTTTAAATTTTTCTGGGCATCTGAAAAACTCCTATCTGCCAAACAATGTAAAATTTCCCACGAACTGAGATTCTGAAATTGTTGAAAATGCTGTATGCTTAAGTGATACATATTATTGAGCCATTTTCTCAAAATATAGGGCAAGAGGAAAAAAATTATGAGGTGATCAGACTTTTCTAATGAAACAACCAAGAAATAAAAGATGCCTCTAGATTGCTATTGAAGTCTTTTTAGACATGCCCAAACTTGGAGAATTTGTTCAATCGTCTAAATGGTCTAGAGATTTTTCTTTTCTCTGTTCACAACCAGTTGTATAACAGAAATACTCAATGCTGTTTTCCTCCCTCTGTGTGAAGTAACGAATCATTGATTATGTGACTTGTTATGTATTCTATTAAACACTAAAAAATAAAACATTCACTCCTTTAATTATTCCTCCTGGCTCCTTGAGATGGATTGTCTCACATGCTGGTTTAATTTCATTTCAAGGGTCCTTGAAATACTGGGAGTGCTTCCCAGATTGCTGTGGGACTACTGATGAGTGCTGTGCCATCAGCAGTACCCCTCGCCGAGGACTGGCCAGTGGGCCAGGCACGAACAGGTCGTTTCCCCAAGTTTATTGTCAAGAATGCACAGGTGGTTTGGTACTCAATATGGAAGAAAAGCCCATCACAGACAATGTTCTTTGACCTCAATCTTTGCAAGTTGTGCCTGTTGTGTTTAGGGAAAAGGAACTAGAAACTTTGAGATGTACCTTAATTAAAAGTACCCTTCAGAAAGATAGGTTTCTAAAGAATGTTGGGAAAATGGATCTGCATTTTTGGTATGAGGGCTTCTTACTGCATCCTCTCCAGCCATTGAAGTCTCTCCCGGCTAAAGGAAGCATAGTGCTGTTAAGATTGAGAAATCACAGAAACTCGAGTCTGCTGGGTTATGGCACAGGAAGCTGTGAGTCGGGCGGGTAGAGCGAGCCAGGCTTCGCCCTTCCTCTTTCCTTTTGCCTGTACTTCCTCTGGATGGCTTTTGTTTTAAAAATGTGTGTGCGTGTGTGCATGTACATACACACACACACGATTTACTTTTGAAAGTTTAATATGTATGGTGAAAAATTTCAGCAATATAAGAATGTATATCACAGAAAGCAAAATCTCCCTCCTCCAGTAACCCCTGGTTTTTCAGAGGCCCCCTTTGAATCTATTCTGTGGGAGGTATAACCTGTTTCATGTCTTGCTTTCCTCTTTTGAACACATAGGCCGGAGTCCTTGCTGTGTGTAACACACAGCAGTGATCTGCCTCATTTTGTTTGATGGCTCCATGTTATTCTTTAGCATATGCCCTTGTCCAGCTGTGCTCTCCTGTCCTTTATTTATGGGCATTCAATTTCCATAGACTGCTGTATTGAATGCCTTTTCAC